GAGAGGAGCTCTGGTGCCCAGAGGCAGTGGTTGGTGTGGGGTGTGGGGTGAGAGGAGCCCTGGTGCCCAGAGGAGCCGCAGAGCTGGGGCAGGAGGAGACCGGCAGGGGGGCGGGGGGCGGGCGGGGCCGCGGGGGCTGCGCAACATCAAGCCTGCCAACATGGAGGAGCTGACGGAGGTGATCACGGCTGCAGAGTTCCACCCGCATCACTGCAACACCTTCGTCTACAGCAGCAGCAAGGGCACCATCCGCCTCTGCGACATGCGCACCGCGGCGCTCTGCGACCGCCACGCCAAGTGTGAGTGCACGGGCACGAGAGCCCGACAGAGGCAGCGCGTGGACACACCTGGGCTTGGAGTCCCTGATGGGTTTGGGTTTGGTCTCCTGGGCCGTGGCAGTTACACCCCAGGTGCTGCTCCTGAGCCGTGGGTGCCGTCCAACCTGTTTTTAACCTGAGTAAAGGAGACAGGAAAGCTCATTGCTGTGGGAGATTGGGAAATGCCAAACACCACCATTTTTCCCAAATCCTGCAGAAGCACACCTGTCCGTTCCCACGTTTCCCAGCCGTGCCTTACGGTCTCACAGCGACGGCTCACGCTGAAAACTGGAATACAGTTAAGGAGCAAAGAAAATTCATTTTCCTGCCTCTTCAGTAGCAGAAGCCTCTGGCATCTCCCTTTGTTTGGGCACTGCCTGGTCCCACCAGCCCACGGTGCCGCGCCGGCCGCAGCGCATCCCTCTCGGTGTGACCTCTCTCGTGACATCTCCTGATTGATTCCCCTCCGTCCCTCCAGAGCACCAGGCAGTCAATTCCCATTCAGCAGATGTGGGAGTCGAAATTGAGACAGTTCATCAAAGTTCAAAATGAAAAGCAACATTGGCTTTAGGAGCAAATCTGCCAATGGAGACGTTTAATAACCGTCAGTGTTAATAAAACTGCAGAGGATGGCTCTCCATGTCCCCCAGGTTTATGTAGGTGGTGCCGTTGCTGCTCGGGGCAACTCTGATGGTGCTTTGCTTATTAAGGTTTGTTTGCCCACGTTCTTTGAGGCTCTAGCGATCTGTGACATCTGTGTTACCCCCAGCACTGAGCTGGCCTGAAGGAGCAGCAGCTTTGACAGGGATGTCTGCTCCGTGGGGACAGGAGGAGCTGACAGGGATACCTGCTCTGTGGGGTCCCAGCTAGACTTGGCATTGCTGCAGCTCCCCAGGCACGGGGTGGAAAAGCTGCTGGACCCCAAGGAGCAGGATCACCCCACAGCCTGTGCAGCTCTTCGGGGCCATCGCAGGGTTTGGTCTGGTCCCCATGCAGAGGGGGCTGAGAAGGCTGCTGGGGAAGGAGGGAGGGCTGGCAGAGCGCGCTGGCACAGGCAGGGCAGTGTCCACTCAGTGCCAGAGAAAATAGGGTTGTTGTGTAAGAGAGAATTAGTGCTCAGAAATCCATTCCATGAGCTCAGCAGCACAGATCTGCTTCAGCAGCAGGAGCAAAGCCACACAAAAGCCTTCAGCCTGAAGCAAAAATAGCTGTCCCAAGCCCCTGCTCTGCCCAACTGCTGCCTTTGCTTCACAGACCTGCCCGGAGTCTGGGCAGCACCACCTGTGTGCTGGGACCCCAGTTCCCAGCACAGCCCCCACTGCTGCCAGTGCCAGGGCTGGGCAGGGTCTGCCCAGTGCCAGAGGCACCAGTGCCTTGGCCCTCGCAAGGTGACTGGCACAGGTAACCCCGGCCAGGCCTGACCTCTTGGCTGCTCTAAGGAGTTGATGGCTCCTCTGTGCTGGACCAGGTATGGGTCTGGACACTGTGCTGACTGACCTGGTGTGAGCAAACTGGGATGATTGCAGCAGAGACAAGTCCAGGGTTCAGATGCTCTCAGGCTGACTCAGATCTTTATTTTCTCTTGCCGATGTCACTTTTCCTATTTAAAAAGCCTGACGTGTCTCCGGGTGCCTGCTGGTGCTGAAAGGCTCCAGTGCTGGGTCCTGCTGTGGGCAGTGCTGTTTCTGTGCTGTAGAAATCGTTTGTACCTGCACTTCAGGCCTTTTTCCCCCCTGCTGCAGCCTCAGGGTGCAGTGAGGGAGTGATAGACCTGAGCAGACACAGGTGCTGGTATGGTGTTGTGCAGGGCACGTGGCCTTGGGGCTGGCTGCAGGTCCGTGGGACCAGTGATCCCTCCTGCTCAGGGCAGCGTGGCCCTGGGGGTGGGTGCTGGGTCCCTGGGCTGGGATCAGGGAGCTCCTGCTGCAGCTGATGCCAGGGCTTGTCCTCTCCTCCTCCACAGTTTTCGAAGAGCCTGAAGACCCAAGTAACCGGTCATTTTTTTCTGAGATCATCTCCTCAATCTCTGATGTCAAATTCAGCCACAGTGGGAGGTACATCATGACCCGGGACTACCTCACTGTCAAGGTGTGGGACTTGAACATGGAGAACAGGCCCATTGAGACCTACCAGGTGAGTGCCATGGCCAGCCTGGTGCTCTCGGAGCTCCTGCTGCGCCGCGCTCCGGGCTGGGGGCAGGAGCGGTGGGTACGCACCTGGTGGGTGGGACCTTTGTGCCTTTGGGTGATGGAGAGCAGAACAAACTGTTAAATGTGGGCTCGAGTGGCCTGGTGAGCTCTCCCTGTGGACTGGAGTGGGTGAGCAGGGGGAGCTCAGGTGCTGGTAGCCAGGAGGGCCAGATGGGAGGTGTTGTGCAGAGCAGTTGCCTTGTCCCTGCTGCCAGGGGATGTCCCCTGGCACTGCCCAAGCTGTGTGTGGAACATGGCTGGAGGTGCTGAGAGTAGAGCAGTGGCTGTGGGAGAGCACAGGGTGACCACTGTGCCCCCTGCACGGGCAGTGTCCCCTGCCCAGGCAGTGTCCAGTGCTGCTGTGTCCCCTGCACAGGCAGTGTCCAGTGCTGCCATCGTTGCAGTGAGCGCGGCGCTGGGCCAGGTCCGTCAGCCCCCAGTGAGTGCAGGGCTGGGTCTGCCAGGCACTGGGCTGTGCTGGTCAGTGTCCCTCCCACCCACAGGTCCACGACTACCTGCGCAGCAAGCTCTGCTCACTGTATGAGAACGACTGCATCTTCGACAAGTTTGAGTGCGTCTGGAACGGCTCCGACAGGGGAGGGTGGCTGGCCCGGGACAGCCCGGGGGGGGCCCAGGCCCCGGTGGCAGCCCCTTTGGCTGGGTGAGGGGTCTGGAGAGGTGCAACAGGGACCACCTACACCTGCAGCCTGTATGTGAGTGCTGCCAGGGATGACCGAGTGTTCTGCTCGCTCCTGGACAGGATCAGTTCCCGCTTTGTTTCACCCACAGCTGGAGGAGGGTGGTGATGGGTTTAGCTCCAGATTTCCAAATCTGGGGATGGTGAGTCTCCAGGTGTGACTGATGCCAAGCTGGGCAGCAGGAAACACGTGAGGCTGGCTGACCTGGCAGGGCTGGACTTTTGTCTGAGCCATCAGAGTGATCTGATGAAGCACAAATGGGCGTGAGACGAATTGCAACTCTAACCCAAACCCCGTTATGCCTGTGAATGTTCAGTCTGCCTCTGGGTACCTGCAGTTTGCCTCTGAAAAGGTGTGAAAACCAGCGTCCTTCCCCCCAACAGTGTCATCATGACTGGCTCCTACAACAACTTCTTCCGCATGTTCGACCGCAACACCAAGCGCGACGTGACGCTGGAGGCGTCGCGGGAGAACAGCAAACCCCGCGCCATCCTCAAGCCCCGCAAGGTCTGCGTGGGTGGCAAGCGCAGGAAAGACGAGATCAGCGTGGACAGTCTGGACTTTAGCAAAAAGATCCTGCACACAGCTTGGCACCCCTCCGAGAACATCATCGCCGTGGCAGCCACCAACAACCTGTACATATTCCAGGACAAGGTTAACTAAGAGGACCAGGTGTTCCTTGGGAGTCCATGTACTGATACTAGTAAACACACGGTTTCAACTGTTTCTTTTCTTTCTTTCTCTCTTTTTTCCCCCTTTCCTTCCTGTTCATTGTTCAGTTCCTGCTCTGCAGGCCTCGGTTGTGCAGAGGAGCACTGGGGCACCCCCCAGACACCAGACCTGCGTGGGGAGAGCTGAGCTGTGGTGTGGGGCAGTAAGGGGGGTCGGACTTGGCTGTCTCGTGTCCCCAGAACCAGCGCTGAGGTGGCAGTGACCCCCGAGGGGCCCGTGGGGGCTGTGGGCTGGGGAGGAGCTGTGGGGGTGCCACACTGTGGTCCTGCTCCCGTTGCTTTAAACCCGACCCCAGATGTATTCCACCTGCTGCGTTGAAGATTGGACGTCGCCTCCCTTTGCCATTTTCCACCTTTGTCTTTTTATTACAATGATTTTGTCTTACCAACAGGGACAGCAAAACCAAACCTACAATGGCAAAGTTCAGTTTTGCAATGGACTAGCTCAAGGGGGGGATGTGCTGCACCCCCAGATGTGTCTGCTCCAGCCAGGCTGCCCCCGCCCCAGAACCCTCCTGAGGATTTGGCTTTGTAGATACTGTGGTGCCTTCTTTGGTATATGAAATACCTTTATAAACGATGCTTCCAACCTGCATTGATCGCAAACCAAACCGACCCTGGGCTCTGCTGCAGTTCTGGGCTTTGCTTTGGTCATTTTCTTCCTTCTGTTGTGAGCTCTTGCATGTTGTGACTGTCTCTCTGTCTGTCTTTCTATCTCTCTTCTCTTTCTTTTTTTAATTTATTTATTTATTCAATTTTTTTAAAGCTGAAGTATAAGTTGCTAATTTATGACCTTCTAAAAAAAGAATCCAAGCATATGTTGCTGTTAGCCCCTGACTGTGTCAGAGAGAGGCTGTCTGCAGCCCTACACTATGATAACAGTGATGATAACAATAAACCAGTAACTCTTTCTCTTTGCATGGCGACGCTGCCTCTTTCCGCTCGACAGACTGGTCAGGTCCCTCTGTCACTTGAGCGACTGTTTGATAGAAAGGACTGGATTTTCAGTAAATCTGAAACCTTCCTGCAGTGCGACGCAAGTACCTGACGCCTGTTACCCCTGGGCTGCCCCGGGACAGCCCGTGGAGGGCACTGCCAGGAGCGCCCAGGGCCGCGGCAGGATCCCGGCCCCGCACCGCCAAACACGGATCTATCCCAAGGGATGGCTTTCGGGAGCAACCTTTTTTTTAAATGACCTGGTAAATACAATAGCAGGAGTAAACGAACCATTTTATAAGAAAATGCTCTTTTCTGGCTCTGTAAGGAAAGCTGTGCTGAGGTGTCAGAAGTAAAGTTGTCCCAAACGTGTGTGTGTGGAGTCGCTGCCTGTTGTGCCTTGCGCGGGGACGGTGGCTCTGCAGTGTCCCAGGCTGGGGTGGGGGCACCCACAGCTCCCCTGCTGAGCAGGACACACCACGGGACTCACAGCCCTGGGAGGAGCTGCTGGTCCCTCCCCAGTCCTGTCCTAATTCTGGGCCGTTCCCAGGGATGAATTTAAACAACAGCCCTTCATTAGCAGCGCAGGGCACGGACTGTGCTGTCAGGAAGATGTTCCTCAGACACTCACCTCCACTCTAACTGCAGGACCTTCATCGACTGAAGCAGCACAGACCCAGCCCTGGCTCTGCTTCTTGGGCTGCAGCACATCCTGGGGTGCTGCGTCTGGCTGCTGCACAGGGCAGAAATGAGTCTGGCTTTCCAACATCAGGAGTTTCCTTTCCCTTTCCCTAAGCTCGCTCAAATTCAACCTCTGCCCTGCTGTGAGTGCTTGGCCAGGGGAGCTGCTGGGCTGGGCTGGGCCCACTGCTGGGAAAGGTGTCCACATGCCTTGACCCCCTCCTTTGGATGAGGATCCCCCAGGTTGTCCCTGCGGAAGCTCCGTGGTGTCACACACCATCAGCACATCCTCCAGCAGCACCTCCTGCCCTGGGGCCTGGCGTGGGTGTAATTGCTTTATCCACAGAATAAGCAGATAAATAAATGCTAATGAACATCTGGTCACCATAAACCAGATCAATTAAAATTATAGCCACCTCATTCACGTAGTGAACAAGTTAACCATGTTCTACCCTACCCAACGCTCATCCCTTTGCCCACACACTGACCCCACACCGCTCAGTGCCACGGGCCCTGTTGTGCCAAACACAGCCAAGAATGAAGGCAGCATCGCTTGAGTCGTCTGCTTTACTCGTAAATTCACAAGTCCAACAAAATCCAACAGAAATCGGGATTAGGCCTGTACAATCCATATATAAAAAGGGTTGGTTTATTGTAGTTCAAATACATAAACTGAACAATCCCAACATTTCAAAATTAAACTTTAGAAACACAAGTTTAACATTCAAAACAGGAGTATAGTTTACAAGAATTGCCCAGAGAGGGAATCCGCAGTCTAATCCAGAAGTATGTAAAGATCACTTTATCGTAAATAAAAATGTGTTTGTACAACCGTCCCGTCCTGCTCAGTCACCTGGGGAGGCACCACAAGCCTCCAGCTCAGAGCAGAGTTATCAGACAGATCTTCACGTGGGCAGAGCAACCTGACTGCTGCTAACCAATGGCTGGGGCAGGAACAGAGCAGCCTGTGAACGAACCTGCTTTGGTCTCCGGGTCCCAGCGCCCTGCTCAGCTCTGACCCCGTTAACGGATTTGGTTCCGCTCCCAAGGGTGGAAGGAGAGAACCGGGACTGCTGTTTCCAGAGCGTGGCTGTCAGTGATCAATAATTTACGAGACACGGCGTGTCACCTCCTCTCCCAGGGACTGCAGGAACCATGAGGCAGCTGGTGGCACACACGTAGGACACGCTCAACACAGCACACTCCTCCTTGGGACTGACACGCTGCGAGAGGAACACCCCGGGACAGACACCCTCCCCTCACACAGCCACCAGCCCAGCCCTGCCCCGCTTCACTCACGGACCCCGCTAACGTCGCTCCCCCCAGAGACCAATTTATGTTCACAAATGCTGCTTCTGCCTCTGCTCCTCAGATGTTTGAATATATTCACGGCAATGGATGTGTGTAACCTGACAGATGGCTCATGCAAGCGTTAGGATTTGACAGACACCCTCGGACTATTTGGTTGTCCTGCGCGTGGGCTCGGAGGCGGTGGGGGGCGGGGGCGGCCCGCGCCGGTCCAGGTCGTCCACGTAGGACACGATGAGCTTGCGCCGCTCCTCCGGCACACAGTCCAGCACCAGGTACCGCTTGTCGTTCTGCAGGATCTTCTCCACGTCCTTCAGGTGCTGATCCGACTCCTGGATCAGCTTTTTGGATCTGTGAGCAAGGAGAGAGCGAGCGCTGGAGTGTGGGACGCCCCACGGGGCTCGGGATGTGGCTGGGCAGGGAGCACAGGGAGCACAGGGAGCACAGGGACAGGGAAGGGCAGGGAGCTGCCCACCCTCTGTGCCAGGAAGGCACCGTGTCAGGGTGTCCAACAGAGCTCTCTGCACAGCAAACGAGGGCTCAGAGCCTGCTCCTGTGCTGCGCGGGCTGAGCGACGCGAAGGCTGAGTGGCTGCCAGGGCCGTCTCAGCACCACATGCGCTGCACACAGTCTAACACCCAGAGACTAAAACATAATAATAATAAATAAGCACAAATAATAATAAGCACTTTAAATTCAGCACCTCCACGAGGCCAACAACTGGAATCTGGATGTGGAAGTCCCAGCTGATGAGTGAGCTGTGCCCACAGCTCCATCTCAGAGCACTTGCTCCAGAGCCCAGCCCAGGCTGGTGCTGAGCACGAGGGACCACGTGCCAGGCGCCAAGGGACTGGTTTCATTTCCTCCTCTTTATGTGAACTCGTGTTTCTGATGGAAACTCGTTTTGGTCCACACCCCACGTGCTGTACCAGCACTGTCATCGCCCACACTGAGGGGACAAGTCAGCTGCTTCCTAACTACCCACCAGTGAGGCACAGCTTCCACCAAGATCCCCCACGGAAACCAGGCAAATCGTTTGCTCAGTTTCATAAAACTTAAGTGGAGCCAATGCTTCTCTGCTGTCTACTCCAAAGTCCTGAGGGGAGTCCTCACTTCAGTGATCCCTCCTGAACCTAACCCAGGCCTGAGCGCTGGCCTGGAGCACATGGAACACAGGCAGCACTGCTCACCCAGCACAGCTCCTGGGCCCACACAAACCTCACACCTGGGCGGGTTAGATGGCACTGTCAGCAGCAGCAACACCAACACAAAGCACACAGAACCCTCCAGCTGCTGCAGGCTAAGCTTTTGACAGGCTATGGAAGGCTGTGAAAATGTGACTTAGACATCAATCTGTGCTAGGAGACGAGAGAGGTCAGTGTACTGCTGTTCATCGGGCAAAGCACAACGAAAGCAGAGTCCTCCTCACCTGTAGGTGATGAATTTGGTCTCCTTGAGCAGCGTCCGGAAATCGGCTTTGGCAGTGATGTACTTGTCTCGGATGTACTCCTCAAACTCCCTTTGCTTTTTCTGGAAGGGGAAAGATCAGCTGAAACCACTGACACAGCAGCAACTGTATGTCCACTACACCTGTCCTTACTCAGCTCCTGAGACCTGTGACCACAGGGCAGGACCCACTGAGCTCACACCTGTACCCTGTGCCAGACTGGGCGGGAGCAGACACAAACCACTTACCCTGTCGCTCGAGGAGAATTTAATGCACCTGGGGTCTTCTTTAATGATTTTTTTCACTTCCTTCCATGTTGATGTTAGAGTTATCTTTCAAAAGAAGCAAAAACAGTTAACTGAGTGAGGAGTGCAAACATCATCTCTGAGACCTTTCTGTATCTCCCAAGTCCACTGACAAAGCTCTTGCTGTACTTTAGTGTTGGGTTTTGACTATTATTACTATCACATTTGTACTTTCAATTAGATGATTTTATATACTGACTTTTCTTTTGTATTTTGAGATGGCATTTTCAGGTTAAAGTCCTCCAAATATCATTTACTTTCCAAAGTCTTTGTCTAGCACATATTTATGTATATGAATGTGTTGTTAAAAATGACCTCAACTTTCCTCAGTCTGCAACTTTATTCTACTGCACTACAAATCTGCTTCATGTTCTAAACACTTTTCACTAATGCTTTAAAATGAGGTAAGAACTTCCAGGTTAAAATCTGCATGGAGGTGGCACAGAACTAAAGTGTAGCAAGCCTCACTGAACCCCCAGTACACAGAACCAGAGGTGCAGAGCACAAATTCAGGAGCACAAATTCAGGTTCGGCAGCACAAGGTAAAGCAGGAGAACATCAAACCAGGTGAACTGGGTAAGATTATACGAACAGTCATTAAGGCAAACACCCTGGGAATCTGAAAGAGCCAGAAGGCAGACAGTGAGGAGTGTCAATTAACTCAGCGACTAAGAAATCAAAAGGAGATGAACAGATCACTGATTAGAAGTCTCTGTGTAAATGCACTGGATGTTCAACCAAAGGGACACTCCAGGTATCAGGAAACACAAAGCACAAATTTTCTCCAAAGGGACACTCCAGGTATCAGGAAATATAAAGCACAAATTTTCGTACAAAGGAGAAAAGGGAGTGGTGAAGCAAAGGAGCCCTGGAAATAAACCCAATTCAAACCAAAATGGGACAGAAAAACAGGAAGAGAGAAAGCCCAATGAGCTGCTAAGATTTCCAGCTTGAACACTGACAGCTCTTACCGCTGAAGTTTCATCCAGAAGTTGCCTGAAGTGTTCCCTCTTCTTTTTGGTAAGTGCCTCAATGTGTTCGTTAAAGAGCTTCTCCTTCTCCTCCCTCTCGAGGAGAGACCCTGACTCCCAGCGGTGATCCTTGCGCAGAGTCCTCCTGGTGTCGGACCAGGACACGTCCGAGGATCTCACCTGCGGCACACAGCGCACGCTTTACCCCCACTGCCTGCAGGGCCCCAACGGCTCTCACATGCTGACTGGGGTTGGATCTCGTTTAAAGTTAAGGCTGAGACAGAAGGTCAACCCCAGTTCTTCAGAGGAGACTTCCCCACAAGCACGGAGCAGGCAGTGGCAGGACTCCTGCACGGGTTCGGAGCACAGGAGATGTCCCACAGCCCTGCCTGAGCATTCTCCCCAGCAGCAATCCCAGCACTCTAACACTGTGTCCTCTGCAGTGCTTGGAAAGACATGTTGGAGATCACTGTTTCAGGGACACCAGGCGTGCCCTGCTTCCAGCCTGGAGAGCAGCACCAGGATGTGAGCCCTAAGTGCAAAGCCATCTCTTCCAACCCTTTCTTTAGGCAGAAGTTTTCCCTGTGAGGGTGGTGAGACATTGGCACAGGTTGCCCAGGGAGGCTGTGGCTGCCCCAACCCTGGCAGTGTTCATTCCAGGCTGGATGAAGCCTTGAGCAATCTGCTCTGGTGGGAGGTGTCCCTGCCCAGGGCAGGGGGTTGGGGCTGGAGGGTCTCTGAGCTCCATTCCAACCCCTTAACACACCAAGGAACGATGAACCCCAGGCAGAACTCCCACGGGGACTCCACCCCTGTGTGCGCTGAACTCCGAGCGCCAAAGGCATTCGCAGGGACGGGAGGGCCTGAGGGGCCGTGGGAGCCTCACCATGTCTGACAGGAGTGCTTTGAAGTTCTGGATGGCCTCCTCGCGCTTGTGCTGCTCCCGCTCGCGGTCGATCTCCTTGGTCTGCTCCGAGCGAGCCTTCTGCACCTCCCGCTCTCGCTCCCGCAGGCTGGCCTCGATCCGCGCCTGCCGCTCCAGCTCCTTCTCCTTCTCCGAGTCCAAGTTCTGACGGGCGACAGCAAACTGCCCTCAGCGAGGCCACACACCACCTCCACCCCGGGAACCAAAGGGAGCTTGGAACAAAGCACTTCCAAGGGATTTGGGATCTACAGGTCACAAGAGTTTGCTCCGAGAGCTGAGCTGAGGCCTCGCAGGGTTACACAGGAAGAGACGACTTTGGGCACAGAACAACTATTCCCAGGAGCACCTGGTGCCTGCAGTGTCTGAGGTTTTACAGCCATTTCTACAACCCGTGGCCTTGGGGAAGGCTCCGAGAGATAAACCCTCCCAGATATCATGGGCACGTCCCACAGACATTCCCATCAGGGACAGAAGTGCCAAGACACCATCCCGGGCTCCTCTGGCATGGAATTCCCTGCAGCACAGCTCAGCCTGCCCCACAGGCAGCCCCGGACCCCCAGCACAGCCACAGCCACACTGACCTTGGCTATTTTCTCGATGTACTGCTTGAACAGGTCCTCCCTCTGTGAGGAGCTGTCCACAGCCTTGTACCGCGGGTCAGTCTCCACTTTGTCCTTCACTTTGCTCCAGCGAGACTGACTGTCCAGGTGGTGGTTTGCCAGCAGCTCAAAGAAGTCCATTTTGATCTGTTGCACAGACAGAAACAGAAAGACAACACTTGAGAAAGACACTTTGACGCCTCATTTTCTTATGAAAAAAGGAGTCGACTTACCTCCTCCAGGGAGCACATTAACATTACAAACCACTGCATTTTAGGGAAATCAGTAAACCCTGACTGAGCCACAACTATAGCCCAAGTGCACTGTCCCTTGGGAAAATTTTGCCAAAGCAAAAGGTGATCTGCTGCATCTGAGATAAACTCTGTTCTTTAAAGAATGATCCACCAATACAGTTACTGCTTACTCCAATTTAAGCTTGGTTTTGAGCTTTTCTATGTATGTATCAAATTAACAGGTTATTGATGCCACATGATAGCATTTTGCACATCAGTACTCCAGGGCTCTGGAGTGCTTATGGATTCATCCTCCAAGTATACAGTGAACAGAGGTTAATGCTTGGGTTTGCTGACAAAGAGCACTTCAAATGGTTCTAACCAATAATTACCCATGTCTGGCAATTAAGTAAATTATACTTAGGATGGACATATATATATATATGTAAAAGTTTAAGGAAACATTTTAGTCTACACTTTCAGTTGGAAATGGCATGTCAGCACTCTGTCCACAACCCCCCTCTGCAGGGGCTGCCAGAGGATCAATGTACCAGGTCTCATTTCAGCGCAACCAGCAGCTGTAAGGGCAACCACTGTGCCTTCCTGAGGTGTCTCGATGTCTGGGGTGCTGAGCTCCCTGTTCTGCTGCACTGCAAACCCCAGGGCACCCTGGCACTCCAGCCCGCTGGGCTTGGGGCGAGGCGAGGGCTGCAGGCTCTGCAGGCAGGGCAGAGGTGCTGCCTCCGCAGCCCCCACGCTCTGCCAGGGCACGGACCAAACCCTCCACGTGCCTTGTGGCACACCAATCAATTGAGAGTCCCAGATCCAGGAGAAGGGCTGGCCATGCGTTACTGCTACTCCTCTCCCCTCATCCCTTCAGAAAGGGAAAGTAGCAGAGGTAGTTCAGCTGCAGAGCACTGAGGTTCCCCCAGACAGGGAGCACACTCCAGGGGCCTGGCACTCCCCATCCTCTGCAGCTACAGAATGCAGGAACTCAGTGAAGGTCAGCACCAACATTCTGCAGCCCTGCCCACCAACAACTTTAGTTCTTCACAGCAGTAACATGTAAACATAAAAGGCTTTAAAGGCTCTTTCTTTGCTATGCCAAAGGAGACTAAGACAGTAAAGCAGAGGTCAGAGAACAGCCCGTTAGTGCCAGCGGGACATTGTGCTACAGCTACAGCACTATTGCTTTATCTTAAAGAGCTCAACAAAATGCTAAGCAAACTGTTTATTCATTGTAAAATTAAGTATGCTGTTTCAAAACATCTTAAACATGCATGCAGTATTGAAATGTGAAGCTTTCTAAGCCATGGCTTTTGAAACATTAGTCAGAAACCAAACAACTCCCAGCTGTGACTACAGAAGTCTCTAAGGTAAGGGTATCTCCAAGCTCCAGTGCATGGATGTATTCCAGAGTGTATTCCACACCTGCAGCACTGCTGGGCATGCCATGGCACCAGCTGCCACCCAAACCCTCACCCGAGGCCACCACCACAGGCTGCAGGGAGCAGCACCCCTGGGCCCCTGGGAGCTCCTGCCTGGCTGCACGGGCACCAGGGACACCCCTCAGATCCCTTGGGAGCTCCTGCCTGGCTGCATGGCCCCCGTGGCACCTCAGTTTCCCTCATTCCCTCCTGCCTGGCTCAGCAGCTACCAGTGGGTCCAGCTGCAGCCTCACCAGCCCCTACAGGACAGGGACCAGGAGGACAGTGCCAACTCCCTCCCGAGGAAAACCAATGGCACTCAAGGCCTCAGTGCTCTAAAGCACAACTTTACCCTCATCAGGTGCCTGTACACAGCACAGGGTTGCTAGGTCATTTTCCATTTTTTTAGAAAAAGGGGAAAATGTCTCAAAAAATTGAAAGTGAAGCATTTCACCAAGGAACAGCCTTTTCCGGTCCCACTCCAGGATAGAGAGCTCCGTGTGCCTGTGCACAGGGCTCGACCCCGTGGAGCATTGCCCAGGAGAGCTGTGAGGAGCTCTGCACGGGTGGGCTGCAGGGCTCGCCCCGGGACACGGAACGAGGCTGTGCCCTGGGACAGCACAGGAGCAGCTTGGTCACTGTTACCTGCCACAGTCCCCGCCCTGGAACCCCAAACCCTCATGTGCTCCTCCTCTCTGCCATCCCAGAAGTGTTGGCACGAGATCCACTCACTGCAACTGGGCACAGGAGTAAAACCAGCGACCGGAAAAGCTCCATCCCGTAAGCCATAACCCCACGAGGCAAAATCCAACTTCATGCAATCTAAACCCCTTACGTTAGAGATTTCTGTAAGGTTGATCCTCCCTGAGCAAAGATTTTGGACTTTTACAACAGACTGAGAAAGCTTCAGGTTAAATGCCTTAAATTTTCTCTTATGTTTTAAGCACTTTGAAAATCAAAGGAAAATAAGGCTGAAAACATTTCAGGTGTATTTAGAACTCTTTTTTTGGCAGTTAACACATTGCAGGTACAACTCTCATCACTTCACAAGGAAAAAGACTAAAAAAATGTAAAGTACCGGAGCTGCGGGAGGCTAAAGTCACCACACAGAGATACCAATGCTTTCCTCACTAGGGAATCCCATAATATTTGCGTGTCAGTGATTGACAGCTGTCAGACTGAACTGATTGACAGGCCGCACAGCACATAACTGTAAAGTCTATCCACTTGTTATAAAACAGAATACATAAAATGGTTACAAAAGGCTTTTGGAGAAAAGAAAAACATTATTCAAAGCAAACAAACACAATCTCTTAACTTTGCAACTTTAGAACAGTCATGCAACAAAACTAGCATTTACTTTTAAAGTCTTCAACTGCACTATTAAGCTGCAAAAATGCTTTAAAATTCCATATTCACAATCAAAATGCAAAATCTAGTTTTGAACTACTTCAGCCCCCTCTGAAAGCACAATCATTTGCGGGGAGCAGCAGCAACAAGGCGACGTGTGTGAGAACCTCGTTAGAGCAGAGCACTCCAACACATGCAGAGCTCCCTGAAGGAGGACAGTGCCCCCAGCAGCTCCCTGCAAGCGCTCCAGGAGTCCCAAATGATTGGCTTCAGAGGTGACCTGCACTCACACGCACACGGGACGCGGCAGCACGGGGCCCCAGGTCCTGGTGACCCTCTGGGGGTCCCTGGGCAGGGAGAGCTGCTCCCCGTAACTGACACATGGCAGTCTGCAGGCCACAGCACTGACCCAGGGACCAAAGAGCCCCCAGGTGCCTGCTGGAGGTGGGGAGGGAGGACATGGAACTGTCTGAACGTTAACTGGAGTACCCTCAGGGAATCGCCAGTCCGGCCTGCCCCCACTGAGGGAGCAGAGGGGCAGTGGCCAGCTCTGGGTTCCAGCCAAACAGGACAAGACCTTTTGCTTTTCATGCTTCAGGATAATAGAACTTAATTAAAAAACAAAAATCTAGCACGACTCCAGTTAAGATAACGTTACTTGCTTGGGTAAATGAATAAAAGTGTCATTATTTAAGCAAACTTGAGCTTCATAAATAAACACAACTCAATGGAAGAGTCACTAAAACTGCAAACCTGACCTAGCTGAGGAGGCCAAGGGGACAGCCGCGAAGCGCTGCCTGCGACGCCTCTAGGAAAGCGCAGGCCTGTGGCTCGGGGGAGGCTCTGTCCCATCTCACTCACACCACTCACACTGCTGGAACTCAAGAGTCCCCTTACCTTCTCTCCCCTGGTCTTCGAGTCTTCCTTCTCCTTCTTTCTTGCCGCTGTGATAAACTCATTAAACAAGGCCTCTCGATCTTTCATCTTTTCAATTGCCTTGAACCTCGAGTCTTTAGCATGCTTGGCTGCAAATTCACTAAAAGTAGTTCTGCAACAAAATGGCAAGTGAACTCATTTGGCATTTTTTAGCAGGGAAATGCTTCCTCTGCTGCAAGACATGCCAGAGCACAACTTCAACAACCCAAAAGGCAAATCCTATGGTCTCACTAGAGAGCTGCTTGACCATGAACTCTACCAGAGGAGCCAGCACACACGAGAGGTGTTGTCAGACTGACAGGGGTGGCTGGTCTGCTCAGACACAGCCACCTGGGAATGGGCAGGTGTGGAGAGAGACCACCGTGCAACCAAGGAGAAGAAATGAAAACAACTCAGTTGTCTACACAACTCTTCTTTCTGTGGGTTAGCAGTTCAGCCACCAGTCTGTCCAGGTATTTCACAGCTGTGAAACCGAAAGCCTCGGGTGCATTCACTTGCAGCCAAACCATGCTAAGAGTTCACCAAGAAAACCAGCTGTGGTAGGAGTCCCCACAGGACACTGACTGTACCAGCTCTTCCCCCTAGAGTGCAGAGCCTGATCTCACACCAGAGCTGAAACCCCTTCGACCACTATGGGCAGAGGCAGCACTCCTGGGCTTTGGACCCGTCATCCCACAGCACTTCCCTGACCGTTCTCTCACCTCCAGGGCCAGATTCCAACCTGTGCAGTAGGTACAGTACTGCCACTTACCTCGGAAAAAAATCACTACTGTGCTTTTTCCAAGCTCTGATGCAAATCTGGCCCCAAGAATACGTGAGACACTTATAATCATACGAATGTTTTCATCACAGCATGGAAATAATTAGACTTGGAAAATCCAGCCTACTGTTGCTGTAGGGTAAATTGAAACAAGAAGAGAATTTGGTAGCTTATTCAAAAGGGTTAGAAAGTGAATGTACAGCTAGATTGAAGAACAAGAGCTGCTCAAGTGAAGTGGAACACAAACTCTTGAGCATGTTGGACTGAGATGATAAAAACCAGTCTGGCACTCACAGAAGTACAGCAATATCTTTAGACAAACACTGAAACCAGAAGACAAAGGATAAGATTAAACAAGACAGTATTTCAGCTGGAACTCTCTCTCCCACCCCAGCCCATCATCAGGCAAAGAATCAGCCCCACCACGACACACTGGAGATACGCTGGGAGCTGAGCATACTACAGCTAACGTCACTTTCTCAAAGCATTTCCATGCCTTCATTCTTCTCAGCCTACCACTGAGTTAGCAGTCAGACCTGAAGCAGTTTAAAAGTTAACACTGACTTTCACCAGATTTCCAACACGAGCCACTGGAAAAAACTGAGCTGAAGGGAAACAAACGAAGTGTTATTTCACTGAAAAAGAGTTAATGCCAGATGAGCCAAGAGAAGGTGGAAGAGGACACTGCAGGGCACATCTGGTGACATAAGCACACACTTCATGGCCTCTCTGTGAGGAACCTGTGAAACAAACAATCCCAGCAATGAACCCTTGGATGTTAATAGGCTCACTGATATCCCCCTGCTCTGATCACTGCCAGGGGGGCTGAATGTGAGGGGGGTGCAACCACTGCTGTATTAAAGCAACCAGAACATTCTATCATATGGTTATCAACATACCTTGCAACCAGAAAAACATCCCTGCAGCCCCTTCCAAACCCAAGAAACCTCCCTAATACTCTCAGAGACTACTGATACCCTTAAGAAGAAGGAAGGTTATTGAAGAAGCCTATGGTGGGTCCTGAGGCCTCTCTCCCAGTCCAGGCAGCAGGCTGGGGCTTCTTCAGCTTGAGATATACCTCACTATAAACATGCACATCATTATAAACATGCACATTGTCATAAATCACAAGTTCTATTACCTCATGGATTAGGTGAATACAAGCAGACAAAAGAAGATTTCAACATCTGATAATTTTTCTCCTCTTTGCTCATTTTGAACAAGGTTAATCAACCCAACACCACCCAACACCCTGCACTCCCGCAGAGCTTACACACACGAATCACAAAGAAGCTCCTACCTTGGATTGATCTTTGCTTCTTCCATCATTTTCTTGAAGTCCTCCTTGGCCTGCATTATTTTATTTTTCTTCTCCTTGCGCTCCTCCTCGGCTCGGGTTTTCACATACTGATCAAACACCTGCAGAGACACCAGTCACCCACGGCCAACACACACCTGGATCACAGCAGCTCAAGGCAGGAGGGAGGGACAACCCCACTGTGCCCTTCTCTCCTGTTCCCTCTCCTGTCACCACAGAACTGAGGCAGAAGGGAGGGCCAGGGACTCTCTATTTTGATATGGAAATGCCTCCAAGCTGTTGCAGGTGCTGTGCCTAACACACCACCTGGGACCTGGGCGGAAGCCTTACATTTTCCTGGGTCCCATGTTTCAGACACTGCTGTGTTCTGTTTCCCTACTTTTTTTTTTCTTGAAGAAAAGCTGCTGAAGTGAGAACTTACTTACCAATAAAAATGCACTTCAGCTTTTCCCCAACCACTTTTTTTAAATAAATGGCTAATTATTCACTATGACAAAACTGTGAAGAGACACTGGTGACTCTCACCATTTCATTCAGGCTTTGGCAGCTCTCTGCACACATACAGCTTTCACTGTGATAAAATACGAGATCTTCCAACCACAGGAAATAAACCAACTACAAACTCCTTCCCTTGCTGCTTTCTTCCGTTTCCAGACGAACCCTAACCATGACAAAATCCCTTGCAACACTGATTAGCCTGGAAGGTTTGCAGGAACAGAAACAGACTGAGGACTCAGACAAACCCATGGTAGCTGTGTCTGGATGGGGAGAGAGTTTGACTTTTTTTACCTGTTTCCTTTCTTTTGGGTTAAGCAGTAAGTAACGAGGGTCAAACACAATCTTGTGCAGCTCCTTCTCCCACGTTGAAAAGGCAGAAACCTTTAAAGAAAAGAACTCTGATTTAAACCAATGATTCAGTTTCCTCAAACATACAGAAGTTGTACAGTTTCAGTTGAAGACTCTTGGACACTGATGAAAAGGGGGAAACAAACTCATCCTGGACTTTTCATCACTCATCGATGATGGAGGCTGCCATAGGCTCTCCCTCCTCACACACAGGTTTCTGACACAAACCTCCCTCTCCCCCTCCTCACACACAGGTGTCTGACCCAAACCTCCCTCTCCCCCTCCTCACACACAGGTGTCTGACCCAAACCTCCCTCTCCCCCTCCTCACACACAGGTTTCTGACCCCTCTTTCCAGCAGCATGTCCTTGAACTGCTTCATCCGAGCCTCCAGCGGGACGATGGCTCTCTCCCGAGCAGCTTTAATCTCAGCCTCCATGGCAGCTTCCTTCTCAGAATCAATGTCTTTGATATCGTCTTTCCTGAAGAAACAAGCATACAGTGTCACTAGAGAAGTGAAACACCAGCCCTGTAGGTCTGAACTGACCCACTGCAGGACAGGGTGGACAATGAAAGCCACTCTCAGATGTGGATATGAATGCTTTCATCCCGAGTGCTCGAGAGCCACGGTATTCCCAACCCCTCCAGTGCCAGCAGATGACTCCCAGCCACCAGCACACTGTGGCTGTGTTCAAAGGCCTGGCCAGATGTCAAACAGACTGTACACCAAAAGCACTAATGTTCTGATCTCCTGCTCAGGGCCACAGGCACTGAGGAGTCTGCTCAGATGGAGAACACTTCGGTCAAGGACAGCCGAGAATGCTGTGGCACAGGTGAGCTGTTTGTGCACACAAGCACTCCAGCAGGTGTGCTGGCTGCTGCTCTGGGTTTACTAACAGCAAACACTGCATCCCAAACAGCCTCCCAGCCCCTACTGCAAGAGCTGCACAATGTGCTACGAGCAGACAGCCACAGACAACACTGTTACATCACTGTATCACACCCAGCACTGGTGAAAGGCAAACCAGAACAGAAGTCCTAAACCAAACCATCAAACCTCTGTGACAGAGTGCAAATAGGGAAACCACTATGAGGATCTAGATGGCTGGATTTTTTGGCAACAAAGTCTCGTACCCAGAAATGAACAAACTACAGAAGCTATTTAAGACAACCGGCACCCAAAATATTCCCTGGATTCGCCGGCTTACACCACTTACTTCCATTTCAAATGACTTCCAAGAGATGCTATTTCCTCTCTGCAAGGGTTTCAGCCGTCTCAGGGAAATACAAACACCTGAGCTGCTGAGCAGCAGAAAACTGATGGCTGTGTTCACCAGCCCTCAGTTCCTGCTCTGCTGGGCACAACACACACGGCTCTGGTGACAAACTCCAGGTATTTCACCCACACAGACCACTGGCACTGAAAGAGCAAACACTTACTTGCGCTTTTTTATCTTAATAGGCTCATCTTCGTTTGCTTCCTCTGCAGCTTCGTGCTCTTCTCTGACTGCAACAGATTGCAGGGATACTTTAGACTCTACGCTGATGCAAAGCTGTACTTTACCAGTGAAGTCCCATGCACAGCCGTGTTCTGACCCAGGAAGGTCCTCAGCTGCTCCCAGTCACACTGGGGCAACGTGGCCCAGCACCAGTGGACTTGGGCCAACTCAGGATTTAAAACAGCCAACACTGACCTCTTATTTCCAGGGAAAAAAACTCAGGCTAAACAGTCTAATGAAGCACATTTGGATCTCCTGATCTTGTGCTTTGCTCTCCTCCAAGGCCACATGCCATCCAAGGATCATTTACTAGACTTCTAGCCAGAGAGAAATCTCATCTCAGCAGCCTCTTGAATGCTCTCTGCTCTTGGCAGCTGTTTCCAAACCCTATTCCAGCTGATGGTCTCTAAGTTAGGTCCTCCTCTGTGAGGACTCATTCTCAACCCACTAATTATGATTGATCTTTTCTGGCCCCTTGCTTATAAAACCCACACAATCACTTCTAGAGTCAGTAAAAACTGTGAGTTCCAGCCTGTTGGCATTTAGCAAAACAGTACCTGCTTTCTTCAATGGACTGTTTTCCCCAAAGGGGAAGGACTCTGCAATCTGCATTCCCACCAGCTCTTGCACTCCAGAGTTATACACATTTTCAGTATGTCCTTACCTTTCTGTCACTTATTTAAATGTTACAGGTTCTGGAAATCAACGCAGAACAAGTGATAAGTTATATTTGACCCTGAGCCACGTGCTCTGGGATGGTCCTGCTTGAGCAGCGAGGTTGGACCAGATGACCCACTGTGTTCCCTCCCAGCCTGACTGATTCTGTAACTCTGACATATTCAGGCTTCCTAAGGAGCAATAAGGCTGCTCTTACTAAGCTTTTTTCCTTCTTCCATTCCTTTTTTGTGGGGAGGCTCTTGGATGATTTTGTCCACGTCAGCCCTGCCGATGAGGTCGTCGGGTCGGTCCCACATGGACAGCCGCGTCGTGGGGTTGTAGAAGAACACTCGCTCATCCCCAGTCCACACCACACACCTGCAGAGGGCACAGAGGGGCTCAGGTTACCTTTGTCTCCACTCCCCGTGTACCTCTTACCATGCTCACAGCCTGAAGCACCATGGTCACAGACAGACCAGATTAGATACTCAGATCTCCTCTGGAAAAATGTTTCTGTGGAATCAGCATTTGGGTAAAACACACCTCATCTCTTCAATGCCCTCCGAAACACAAGAAAGAGCCACCTAACCACTCTGCCAGAATTTTGTGAGTGGTGGAATAACAATCACAGAGACAGTTTGAAGGGAGACGGTTTTAAATATCAAACAGTAACAGAAAAGCTGAATCACAAAAACCAAAACAATATCCCTTTCCCTTCAGGAAGACTTTTACCTTGGTCATGCAAACACAGAGATGATTTACATACACTGCAGCCGGTCACCTCCTCATGACATCACACACACATGGGCATCTGAGCAATTTCTGAGCCAAGTTAAAAACCACCCTCATTCTGGCCTGAAGCCACAGCTGTTGGCTCCTGAGGCACAGTGCGAGGGAAGCCCAGGGTTGGGTTTTGGCCAGTACTTCATACCAGATCAGGAGGAACTGGTGGCAGATGAAAGGGCTGGGATGTGAACTCCTGGTGACCAACCCCCAGGACTGCAGGCAGTGAGCAGCAGAGGGGCCAACGTGCCCTGCTGAGGCTGGCACAGCACGGGCAGTGCTGGCCAGAGGAACCCGACGGTGTCTGGGACAGGCTCCTCACGCACCACCACTTGTCCTAACTCCCCAGCAGCCTCCTGATAGGTGTCAGTCCCACAGCAGCAGCTACCTACCAGGGGGTGCCTGGAATGGGGGTGGTGGCAACAGGCTTGGCCTTCTGTGCTGCCTTCTCCTCCTCCGTCATCTCTTCCTCTTTCGGCTCCTCATGGAAAACACAAGTTAGAGGATCAGGCAGTGACAGCTGGATAATTATTTATTATACAGCAACTACCTTGTTTGCAACAAGCACAAGTACTGTGAAACCAAGCTGCCAAGCAGCTCACAGGGACACCTCATCCACACTGGAGCAGAAGCACTGGAACTGCAACAGCAGCTGCTGCTCTGCAGTCAAATCCAAAACCTCTAAGCACTGACTTAACTTTGGACTTCAGCAAAACCTTACTTCAATGCCTTCCCAGATCCTGGAAACCCAGGAAGGCCCTGACACAGGGGCAAGGGTGTCATTTCTCACACAGAAAGCTTCACGTACTCTTAGAATGAATTTATTTGCAAACGAGACACAGAGTACGAACAGTGAACACCTGCAACAGCCTTAGCAGCAGAGATAAGCAAACTGACAACTACCTCAGCAGTAAACAGGGTGGAGAGGCAACAAAACCAGCAACTGATTTCTGTGCTTTTGCCTACATTGAAGTTCACAGAAATCAAGATAAAAGGTTTAATTTTCATTCAAACACCCCTCAGCATCCTCAGGAACTGTTCAGCACAACAAAACACCTTCCAAGGAAAGAGTTTCTCTTGTGTACTGTGAACACTACAGACCTTTCTAGGACTCATGTTCCTAACAGCCTAAAATTAGCAGTTACAGCACATGGAGAACATGTGAGCTTTGTGTCAAACTGTCCAAAATAATGAAGGAAAGAAACAGAGAAAAAGCTGCTAAATATTTCAGACATTCAGGACAAGTTCCATTTTCTGAGCACCTCAAGATCAGCAAGAGAATATCAAGTCTATGTAATGAGCTAACTTGTGCCCCATTTCTTAATTCATACTCTGTATCTTTAAAGGTCCCTTTTCCTTTATCTAAAAGAACCTAACACAACCCAGAAAGCTCTGACTCCAGAGAGAAGGCTTTCAAAATCCTCCAGGAATTTAAGAACTGGAATCACAAACCATGGCTCCTGCCAACTGCCTGGGCTAAGGTGCACCCACACAGCTGTGGGACGTGGGGCCAGACTGACTGCTGGGGTCAAGGGCTTTTACCTCCTTGATCAGTTCTTTTATAGGCTCTTCTTTCGGCTCTTCCTCTTCTGTCTCCATTGGCAAAGGCTCCTCTGAGGGCTCCTTAATTGGCTCTTTGGCCTTCTCTTCCATTTTTTCTAAATAAAGACAGAATCCTCCTGAGTCTTTGTAAAAAACAATACAGAACCACAACAAATTTCTTTTTATTGGTGTAATTTCCCAAGCACAACAACAACCCAAAACTTCTTTTGATGTACTGTCACCACTTTCTGCCCCTCTTGGGCTCTACAGTGTTTGACTATAGGGTTGTGGTTATCTCCTGTGCTAAGATCTACTTACTGGGAACTGAAATACAGTGAGGCAGCTATCACACTGAAAAGCTGACTGAAGGGTACCACCAGAACCGCTGAAACAGCAATAAACTCAGCAACCACCAGTGCAGCACCGAGGATCGCTTTCAGACTGTAAACGTTGCTGACAAAAGTAACACAAATCAGAGACAACTAATGGAGAATCACTTGGGGATTGCTCTGCACTTGGTGGAAAAAAGGATAAAATGAATAATCTCTTCTCAGCAAAACTAGCATTTGCTGTCTTAGATGTTTTCACCTTGGTAAAAAGACCTACTATTTAATCCACTCACGATGGGCATGGATCAAACTGTGCGACTGTCCTGCATTGTCCAAAGATCTCTTGTAACTCAAAATTCAGCAGACAACAAAAGGCAGAGCTATTTGGATTTGTTTCCTTGAAAGAATTTATAAACAGAATAAAAGGCATAGGATTTCTGCCCCTTCCTCTCCTTTATGATCCTAGAACCATCTCCCTCCCACACGAACATGAGCTGTGGCACACGGCCAGAGCAGGGCAGGGATGCAGACAGGGAGAGGTGATGCTATTTTACTTCACACTCCAGATGTGTTTATACACTTAGTTTCTGAAGATACAGAATGCAGCACAACGATTTTCATTTTTTCCTGGTTTACAGCCCTTAGAACAACTGCCTTTCTCCCTCACTTTCTATCTGCAACTGGAACCTTCTCACAGGCAGGTGCAGGTGAGGCACTCACTGCCTGCTGGCACAGGAACATGTACTTACCCAACTCACAGGCTTTGGGAGCAGCTCTAGAACCACTCTCAAAATACAGTGGGAAACAAACTGCAGCTTTCAGATTCAAGACATGGATATTTATAAACTTCTTTTCAGGCAGAAGTTTTCCCTGTGAGGGTGGTGAGACACTGTCCCAGGTTGCCCAGGGAGGCTGTGGCTGCCCCAACCCTGGCAGTGTTCACAGCCAGGTTGGATGAGCCTTGAGCAACCTGCTCTGGTGGGAGGTGTCCCTGCCCAGGGCAGGGGGTTGGGGCTGGATGATCCCTAAGGTCCATTCCAAACCCTTAACATACTACGAAACTATCAAACAGAACTTCAAAGTACTCTTAAGGGAGAGGAGGGACTAGGAATGTTCTCACTCGCATTTTCAGACAGCTACAAATGGTCTGAGCAATGTTCCCTGTCTGCAGCTGCAGTGAAAAATCCCAAGTTACCTTTTTCCTTCAGTTCTTGGGGTTTTTCCCAGGTGGACTCCAAGGTCCTGTTGTTGTAGTAGTAGGTCTTTCCATCCGCAGTTTTGTACTCTGTCCACTCGGACACAGCGGTGGCCCCGGCCAGCGTGGCGGGGGAGGCCGCGATGGCCACCTGGGGGTGGATCATGGGCACGATAGGGGGGGCCATGCCTGGCAGGACTCCTGGGGAAGGGGAAGAAAGGAAAAAGGAAGGAAAACAGTGAGTGTCAATGCAAGACCCAAGGACCAACACCTAGCACGATCCTAACTTATAAATAACCACCCCATAACAGGATTGTTTCCAAAGCTAAACTGGAAGAGAGGCACTGTACCTTCCTCTGCTTCAGAAAGGAATGCCCACTCCCAGGCAAATTAGAAGGCCTTTTGTTTTAATTAATGTGTAATTCTGCAGAGCACCAAGCTTGTTAGCTTTTAGATATTTGATTTCATATTCCAAAGTTCAGTGCTCTATTGATTTTAAAAGTCTTTATCACATATCTGTACCAAATGATTACTGTTTTAAATCCACTCCACTCTTAATTATGCTGTTAGTTAAAGAGATATTCCTACTGCTCCTCAGACAGGCAGCAGTGGCCTGAATTTGAGCCACAGAACACAGAGCAGAACTCTGATAAACACTGGCATTAATTCAGAGCCTTGGACAAAACCTGATGAGAATGAAACAGCATCAGATTGTTGGGTTTGTTTAGTACTGCAAACTGGTTGAGGAAAACCATTTTGCTGAAATCCTACAGCTAAATGGCAAGGAAATATCCAAAGATCAGAAAGCCAGAATCCTGCACTCTCCTGTTATCTCTCCCAAACTGGGTATGATGAACAGATTTGGAATGACAAGTTCTAGAACAACCAATTGGATAGATTGGAACTATGAGACCATAATTTTGAGCCTTTAGCATTGAGAAAGTCTCGTTGTAAGTAGTGCAAAAGCACACACTGCACATTGCCATGGTGTGTTCTCAGTGAGAGACTTGTCTTAAACCCACAGTGGAGATATGAGGTTCACACTCAGACACACAGACACGCACACAACATGCAGCACAGCAGCCACTGCACGTGTGGAGCAGAAAACAAAACCCACACAAGAAACTAGGCACTAGTATGGGCATGAGAGTCACAGTCGTCACAGAACTCAATGGCTACAGAAAACTGTTCTGGCGGTTGGGGACAGAGTGAGCTGGCACTAACAGTTACTTGGGGAAGTCATTTCCTGGCCAAATAGGCTATTTGCATTTATACTGGCTTTGAAAATAAAGTATATATAGTCATTCAAGTGGGGAAGGAAATAAAGAAATAAAAGAAACAACCACATTCACTACCATGCCAACTTACAGACAAAACGAACTAGGATGGGTTTGGAAATTACCGGTCTTGGTGGTAGCGACTGTCTTTACATACGGGCAGCTGACTATTTGCATCATTGCTACACCTGCAAAACGGATAGGAAGCATGTTGGAAAGCTGCCATGGCTGTCAGCTACCACGGGTGCTAGGGTCTCCTGACACAATTTGGAATGCCACTTGCAGCTGGCAGAGAGAAGCCTCATGGCAAGAAAACATGAATGGCTTTAGCTCCAACACTTTAGGCCAGATCAAATGTAAAACTAGTTTTAAGTTGCAGCCACAGTCTCTGCCTGTGTTAAACCAGCTGTTAGCAAGGTGTTGGATGTCATTAAAAAACGTGTTTCAGTGAGGACTCAGGGGTTTAAGTTCATCCGAAGGGAGGGCAGCGGCACAGGGAATCCCCTGCTGGGGCTACCCCCAGGCAGCAGCACAGGAAACTGGTGCTGCCCCCAGAGCAGTGCTGCAGGCAGGGCAGGGCGGGAGGACAGACCTGGCTAGTCGGAGCAGCGAGGCAGAGCAGCCACGCAGAGGGAAGGCCCAGGGGACAAGCTGTGACAGAAAGATGGAGCACAGGGAGAAAGGGTCAAAGCCACTGAGCTGCAGACAGAGGTACACAAGGCTGCACGAGGGCAGGGGCAGCCACAGTTTCTCTGCTCTCCATTACCAAGAATGGCACGAGCTGAAGAATGCTTCAAAAGGCACAACCTGCCCTTAAAGGTGGCACCACGCACTGTCTGTCGCCAGCTCAGACAGAAATGGCACAGCGGGGCACAAAGGGAAAACAGCT